ATTACCTTATTAAACTCAACTATTTAACTCAGACCATCCTTATTGTTTACTTTTGTTGCACGTTTTGTCCCTGCAAAACTTAAAAAAAAACTATTTTGCCCTTGATATTTCTTTTTTGATTATTTTATTTATTATATAATTATTTATATTATTACCTTATTAAAAAAATGTTTAATAAAATACTTCCCTTACTACCCCACACCCTCAAACTTATTGCCCATCTAAAACATCACCTCCACCATCGACCTGTTACGACCATCACCATCGGTGACTCCCACTCATTCACACTATTCACACTGACGACCACCGTCGTTCCAACTAAAACCTAAAACCTAGAAATCAGTCAAAAAGCGACCACGTTTGCTCTCCCAAAAATCAATTTAAACCCAAATTTATTTGATCAATTTGTTTCTTAGAACTTGTTCTCATAAAAACAAAATCGAGGCTGCAAAATTGACAAAACCTGATCACATTAGTTACTAGATACGATCTACAAGGGACCATTTTCGACAAATATCTCCTGTCAACATTTCCGGTATTTATCCCTGCGTTTTGAAACCTTCCTGAAAATCGAATCCTGGAAAAACCAAATCTGCAAAAACCCAAACCACTCCCTCTTTATTTCCGATCAAAATCATACCAGTCCCTCTCTATTTAATGGGCATAATAGGTATGGAATCTGTGGGATTTTTTAAAGGGTGAAGAGAGAGGTTATAAACTTAGAGGAACCATCGATGGACCGATTTCCGACGAGTTTTCCTCCATTTCCGACATGGCTTAGGTTGCTACATTCGAGGTGAGAGGCAGAGATGAATTCTCCAGATCCATGATGGAGAGTATCTCTAATTTTGGGTAGCGATTCGGTAGCTCCACCACCTTCCGCTTTCACCTCTGCACCCAAATCGAAGTACTCGACAGGGCAACAACAATTACCCCAAATCGAAGCACTCTGTAGGTGATTATGGTTTGAATTCGTTGGAGTTGAGAGAGGGAGAGAGATGAGAGAATCTGGTGTGTTATTAGGTGAGACCTGAGAGAAGAAAAATGATAGTTGACGGATTTCATTTGGAAGAAAGAGTAAAAGGTATCAATGGATGAGAAGGACGGCTGACTCTATGAGAAGGATGAAGGGATTTGGGTGGGATCTATACATATTAAACAATTTCTTTTAATCAGTTAAAATTAATTAAAATAATTAAAAAAGAAATATCAAGGGCGAAATAGTATTTTTAAGGTTTGCAGGGACCAAATGTGCAACAAAAGTAAACAGTAGGGATGGTCCGAGTTAAAAAAAAGTTTCGAAACCAAACATGCAAATTACCCCAAACCACAGGGACCATTCATGTAATTTACTCCATTACTTATAAAATATCAATATTTTAACTTTAAAATTATAAGAGATGAAAACTATTAGATCAAAATTATTAGAAGGAAACATCTGCTTTTAGAAGGAGACAAAATCGCTATTTTTAGAATGATCATTATTTATATCTTATATTAAATGCTCTAAAAGTTATGATGTGAGTTGATTTAGCGGTTTTGGTTATGAAAAAAGCAAAGGGAATGAATAGTGCCCATACCGTCCTTCTAAATTAATATATTTAGATAAGGGATATATATAGTAAAGTCTCAATATTTTCATCAATTTGACGTAAAAGTCCTAAACTTTATTTTTTTGACAGTAAAGTCCTAACCACCGACAGTTTTTGACACTTTTACCCTTTTTTTCAGGTTAACCGGTAATTAGGACTTTTTTGTTAAAAAAAATAAAGTTTAGGACTTTCTTGTCAAATCGTGAATTACGATTTTACTGTCAAAAAAATAAAGTTTAGGACTTTCTTGTCAAATCGTTGAAAATATTGGGACTTTAGTGTATATATCCCTTTTTTGGTTAGAAATTTAATGGTATGATAGTCTTTAAGCATAAGAGTTATTGAAACCTGCTCTAGTCAGCTAGATCCTATTGAAATCCTTAATGTGTGCTTCTTGTTAAATAGTTTTTTTAATCTCAACAAACCAATATCTATTTTTCTTACCATCATCATCTTTACCCTGATACAATCACGATTAGGGTGTGAATGAGGAGACTGGGTAGGAAGGGCAATTTCGATTTTTTTTTGGTTTCTTAGTTCTTCATTTTTAGGACTGCAAAAAGCCAACACAACCCTGGTTCTTTCTTTCTTTCTTGATTATCTCAATTTTTTTCAATATCGGTTTGTTGAGATCAAAAAACTATTTAACAAAAAGCAAACGTTAAGGTTTTCAATAAGATCTAGTTGACTAGAGCATGTTTCAGTAACTCTTATGCTTAAAGACTATCATACTATTAAATTTCTAACAAAAAAAGGGATATATATACTAAAGTCCCAATATTTTCAACGATTTGACAAGAAAGTGCTAAACTTTATTTTTTTACAGTAAAGTCCTAATTCACGATTTGAAAAGAAAGTCCTAAACTTTATTTTTTTTTACAAAAAAGTCATAATTACCGGCTAACCGGAAAAAAAACGTAAAAGTGTCAAAAATTGCCGGTAATTAAGACTTTACTGTAAAAAAAATAAAATTTAGGACTTTCATGACAAATCGATGAAAAAAAATTTTATGCAGCTATTATAGATACATGTAATATTGTTAAAAGAAAAAAAGTAAAGTTTGTTGCTATTATGGATGAAAATGTAGTATTTTGCTAAAATGGACAAAAATTAAAGTTTGTTGCTATTATGGATAAAAATACAGTATGTTACTAAAATGGACAAAAATGTAAACATGTTATATAAATGTGTAAATATGTTTCTATTATGGATAAAACATGTAAGTACGTTGCCTATACTGGTAAACATAGTAAAGTATGTTCTTATTAGGGGTGAGCATATGTGGATATCCGACTAAATTTGACGGAACCGACGGTTCATGAAATATTGGAACTGAAAACCGGTTGTACTGGTTTATAAAATTATGGAAATGCTCCCAGAACAACAGGAACCAGTTCCGGTTCCGGGTATCTAGTTTTTTAATTTTTAAAAAAGTTTTTATTTAAAAAATAACTAGATGACATGTAACGGGACAAATTAAGATACCATTTATATCATATTAAGGTGGCTCAGGTTTGAGTACTTCTGGTTGAGGAGCAAACAAATAGTAATCGGCCAAAAATGTTTTAATACAGTAGTATTATAAAACTCAAATATCAAAAAAAAAAAAAAAACCTTCATGCGATTCTCCTACCAAAACTTAGACCAATATATTGATCTGATTTTAAGATTATTATTTTCCCTCTCATGAATGTTTTTTTCAAAACCCCACATATATGAATTGTAAATAGTTATAACAAAATCAAAAATCATGACACCCACCACTCTTGACATTGATTTTAACCAAGGTGTGTTCTAACCATTATTCAATCAATTTTGTATATATTATACAATATGATTCGGAACTGGCAGTTTTGGGCTGGTTCCGAATAAAAAAGCGGATATCTTGTTCACTGCTCACCCTAGTTCTTATTATGGATAAAAAATAAAGTATGCTGCTATAATTGATAAAAATGTAAATATATAGATATTTAGTTTATTGTTTAATGAGGGTAAGTATGTTATTATTTACGTCTCTATTTTATACTAATTATATATGTTTGTTTGAACATTTTTTAGGCAAATAAATCAGAGAGTATGTTAGAAAGGGTTATAAGGGAACAGGAGATGCAAGCATGTATTGAAAGAGCGGTGAATCAACAAGATAAGATGGAAGTTCGTATTCATGGACAAATTCTTGAACTTGTGAAACTATCCACACAAAACAGTAGACCGCCCGATTGGTCCTATGAAACACCTATCGCATGGGCTATTTGAAAATAACATTTAATGAAAACTTTTTAAAAGAATTCCAAAGTTTAGTTTGTGGAAACGTTCCCAAAATTTAAAATTTCAAAAACACAGTGATGTTTGATTTGTAAAACATGCGAGTGTGTCTCTATAAATATCAAAAGCATAGTTTAAGTTACAAACAACAATATCAGTCTTTTAAATGTCCAAGAACTACTAATAATCTAATACATCTACTAACCTACAAAAGTTTATCAATAAGTGGGTTAAGCTTTGGGCTCCCTAGTGAGTACAATCCCATGGTTTAACATTATAGAACTGGAATATGATTGAACACCTAAATTATATCCAAATGTAAAACTTGTACCTTATCAAAATCACAAGACAATAATAGAGTTCAAATTTGGAATAAATTTAACACAATCCAAAGTACATTGCTATACTTGAAAAAAATCATAAGTCTTCAATAGTAATCATATACAATACAAAATAGTTACATTGAAATAAGGCATTCCTCAATAATTCAAATGTAGTCAAGTAGGATAATAAGTATTTGTAAAAAATTCAAATTTATGGATTCAATAACCCGATAACCAAATAAATTTACAAAACATAATCTTTTCGCAAAAAATAGGTAATTAAGAATGTTAATTCGTATAACTATAATTCAATGCATGCAACTATCCCAACCCGAGTCAATCTTATTAAGTCCAATCTCACACAAAAATGGTGGTGGACACCGGAGGGTAGTTCCCTTAAGTTTCTAGAGAAGATGGGACTCTCATATCTATAAATCTATAGGAAAATGGTACTCCCCTTTTCATTGCCCGGTTAAGTGGGACTCCCACCATCAATCTAGGAACTGGGTAGCCATATCCTTTGTCCTGTACACGGGGTAACGAACCCACATGTACACGTGAGGATTATCTATAAATCTACTCACAACAATTCAACAAGCAATGGATCCAGGACATGAACATACAAGTCTCATATCCTAGTATGAATGCAATATAGGATGCCTAAATCAAATTCTCAAACCTAAATCCTTTTTGCTTTCAAAACCAAATCACTTCCAAAATGTCATTTCATGAAGGCATGCATAGTTCAATTTAACAATAAAGGTTCATATATAATTATCATATCATAAAAACCTTCAAACTAATCAAAACATAAGAATATGTGTGAAGTTTATTCGTGATTACTCAATATGTGCGGTCAAAAGGGTAATCAACCTAAATATCATTTTAAAGTTGAACTTCCATAAAAAAATTTCATTTTTAAATATGTCCTTAGCTTTATAATGGACGTCCCTAAATCATTTAAAACGACATTTATTAATGGAATCACAATATAAGATCTATCAATATATAATATGCATATTATAGCACATAAAAAAAATCATAAATCAAAAAATCAAACAATGGGGACAAGTGTTAGGTAGAAGTACTCAACCTTAGTCCTAAGCTTGCAACACCAAGATTCTATTCACTTGAATTATAGCACATGAGCTTTATCCAATTCAATCACCGCAAATGAATTCCAAAATATTCTTCCTTTCTCTAAGCTTGTGTACCTAATAGACACCACCTATTGTCATTTCGAAGTATTTGTTACCAAAATTACCAAAATACCCCTTTAATTAATTTACTGTTTAGACCTTCCCCAGAAGCTTATATACTTCCTATCAGCTTATATATAAAGTTTGAGGGCAATAAAAGTTCGTTTAATAGGTTTTCCATGAAACAAGTACACCTTTCAGAATACCTGACACGAGCTTGTGTCATTTGTTGTACACCCATTTTCCAAAATTTTGCTAATAGCTTTGTAACTTGCTCCCTAGACATCCACTAGCGAACAAACTTCACCAAATGGTTATTATAGACTAAATAAAGGTTAATAACTTCTCAAATACTAAATTGAGTCATTTCTTCCATACGACGTAATGATTTAGACTTTTAGAGGTCACATAAGTTTTAAGGGTACTTATATGAGCATTATAAGTCAACCAAAGATCTTAATAGCTCCAATTGACATTTCATCAACAATACAACATAACTAATGGGAATGATTTGTTTCCAATTCATCTAGATTTTATAAGTTAAAATCCCCTAAACAAAATTTCATTTTCTTCCTAATGA